CCCTTGACAACAAACAAAAAAACAAAAAAAATGGTTTAATGGAAAAAACCAAAAAATGTTTGGGATGGTTTGGTTTTTTTTTTTTTTTTTTGATTCTCCTTTTACATTTCTTTTATTGGTTTTTTCTGTTTGACATTTTTATGTGTAAAGAATTCTTCAACTAAGATGTAATGAGATCCAGCCGGGAAAGAAAATCAAGAAAAAGAATGAAAAAATCAACTAAGTGACAAATTATACCCTTAGATGTTTCACCTGATGTTCAACTTGTGTTGAATATTTTGATATTTTGATGAAAATGAAAAAAATAAAAATCTGATTCCAGGGACAACTTTATATGTATGTAATGTAATGTATTATGTAATGTAATTCTTTGTCAAAGAAATAAAATGAATCACACACACACACATACACACAAATCAGTCAAATGTATGGCGATTTGGAATATATGAAGAAGAAGAAGATGTTGAAAAAACTACATTAGAAAAAGTACACTTCGTTTATTTCGCCTTTTTTCTTCTTACTTCTTCTTCTTGAGATAATAATATTCATTCATCTGTCATATGGTAATAAATTTTAATGTCAAGGTCTTGGCCCTTGGATGTTGTCGATGAGAATGATGATATCTTTCCTAATGATGGATTTTTCGTTTGTTTGACAGAATTTTTTTCCAACAATCATTGATTTTTCAATTGAACAAAATCCTTTTATGTATTCGGTTCCGGAACCGGATTAACTTATTGATTTTTATTTTCTTCCAAATTTCCAAGGTATAAGAAATTTAGATGTCTGTATTTATGAAGAAATGAGAGGATCATGATCATCATCACTGTAGCATCATCATCAACATGATTGGCCAAACATAAGGATGGTGTATTTTTTTCTTTTTCTTAATCATCCATTCACTGGTTGTAACTGGTGAAATTTTTACTTTTATTTTTTTTCTTTATTCTAGATTTTTGGTTGTTCAAGTTTTTTTTTCACAAAAAAAAACTGCTTTGATTGGTTTTTTTTCTGGTTTCTGATTTTTTTTTGTCTAAGATGGATGTTTATAAAGTTGGCTGGTTAGTTTATAGTTAGTTGGTATATCCTATTTGAATTTGTTCAAGATTTTTATCTATCAAACCAACAGCATGAATGAATGAATGAATGAATGAATAACAAGAATTTGTTTCGTTTTCGTTGTTGTTGTTGTTGAATAAAGGAAAAAAGGGCTTTCCAACGATCAAAAAAAAAAATCAACCAACCAACCAACTAAATTTTCATAAATTAAGTTTTTTGTAAAAGTTTTTTTAATAAAATATTGGAAAGGGTGTTTGTAAAATTGATAAACCCAAACAGATGATGATAATGACCTTGACATGATGACAGCTTTTTTTTATAAGGAAAATCTGTGACTTTAAAATGATTATAGTATTTGGGTGACATAATAATTGATATGATATGATATGAACCAACTGGACAATCAAAAAAAAATGTAGGTCCAGAAATTCAGTTTGCAATTTTTTTGGACCTAGATTTTTTTTTTCTTTACCTTGTTTTTGTTCCATAACAATAACAAAAACATTGTTGTTATTATTGTTGATCTCAATTGTCGATTCATTTGGAAAATTTATTATTATTTTTTTTTGCCAGTTTTGAATAGAATTTTGGATTTTTTTTTTCTTTCATTTCATTCCATTGTGAAAATGTTTAAAAAAAATCGATTGATATTGTGATTACAATTGAAAAAAAAGCAAAGAAAAGAAAACAATGGTAATAGAGAATTCGTATCAAAAGGGTGCTTGAATTGAATTGAATTTAACCAATCCATGATTGGTGAACAATGTTAAATCCATTTTTGGGAAATTTTCAAATTTTTTTTTCTGAATTTTGGGTGCCGAACCAATAATAATAATGCATTATGGTAATTTTTATTTTCAATAAATTTTTTCTTTTTTTTGAAGTTCAAGGTTCAAATGTCACAATGGAATTTGATTTGATTTTTTTTGTATTCTTTCAAACAAAAAGCAACTTGTTGTTATGTCTTTGTTTGTTGGTGTTGGTTATTATGGCCAACCAGACGTAACAGGTTTCAACATTTAAACGTTGAACACAAAGAATGGGGAGAGAGAGAGAGATTTTAATGTGAAAAAAACAACAACAACAACAATAATTTCTTAGAAATAAAGACATAAAGGAAAAATTAAAAAAAAACTTTTCATTCGAATAACGGTATTTGGAATCAAATTCCGTTGAAATTGATGATTTTTCCTCAGAATTTGTGATAAATATCACGTCAATATGTTATTTTAAATGAATTAATCTTGGAAAAAAATCAGATAATTTCCAAACGAAAAAGATGAAGAAGAAGAAAAAGTTTGTTGACCAATGTTGATTTTCTTTTTTCATTTTTGGCTTCGTTTTGAAAAATTAATTGAATGAAGAAAATCAACTCTCATCAACAAACAGCTGTCTATAATACAAGATGATCACGGTAATTATCTAGCTGAAAATTCGAAAATAAATCCGGTAAATTTTCGTTTTTTTTTTCGTTTTTTGTTTTTCAACAGGTTTGGTAAGATCAGTTATGATGATGATGATGGTTTTTTTTCTTCTATATTTTGTAAGTTGTTTTTTAATCTGCAGGTCATCGTCATCCGTTTTGATTTTCTAAAATCATCATCATCATCATAATCCTTGATTGACCGTTTGGGTCAATTCATTTTCTTGGAATCTTTCTTTGAACAGATGATGATGATAAAAAGTTTTTTGACCACAATCAAGTTTTTTCTTCTTTCTTTCCTCCATTGAATTTATCTCTTTCTTGCTTTTTTTTTGCTTTAATCATTTACCGGATTTCTGTTTTCATTTTTCTTTTTCTTTTCCATTTTTTTTCATCTATTCGTTGGCCAATGACCATTTAGACATGACCATTTAGATGATTTTTTAACTGCATTCAATGATAAATTGCTATTTTTCTCACCTTTTTCTGTTTTTTTTCCTGTTTACCTTTCAAATTTAGATCCAAAGTTTACGGTATCAGATAAAATTGATGAGAATCTCATTCATATCTTATAAATTTTTTGCTTCGGGTTCAATGGCTTAGGTTATTTGTGGCTTTTAACCTTTTTGTTGTTGTTGTTTTGCTGTTGGACTTTTCGCAAATACGAATAAAACGCTATGTGACGAATTTGATGATTATTCTTTTAGGTAGAATTTTTTTTTGTTTTAACCGAAACAAAAATCGATCTAATTTTCATATTTTGTAAAATGCATTCAGAAAAACTTGAGAAAAATAAAGATGAAAACTTTGTTTTTTTTCGACCTTCGTATATTGAAGAAGAAAACAAAAATCGATCAATCGATATCGATATTGTTGTTGTTGTTGTTGTTATTGAAAATATTCATTGTCCTTGTATTTGGACAGGAAAAAAAATAGTCCAATAGATTTTAAATCGAACAACAACAACAAAAATGAAACAGGAAAACTTTCAATTCTTTCTTTCTTTATTTCTTTCTTCTATTTAATTGTTTATTCTGTAGTTCCTCCTTTCGACCTAGCCAATATGAATAAAATGACCTTGGTTTCTGTTTGTATTATATATGTATGTACACCGTATGCTTTGTATAATTTGTTTTTTTTTCTGCATTTACAATGAATAGAATTTTCAAATGATCATTTGTACTATGATTATTTTAACACAAAAACACACCTAGACACGTATTTTTTTCATATAGAATAACATAAAGAAAAAATTGAGATTATTAGGTCACTGATGTGTCAAGACCAAGGTCAAAATAAATGGGAAAAAAACAGTAACCAGATGAAAAATAGTGAAAAGAAGGAAAAAAGTCTGGCTAACCAAAATTTAAGATTTCGCTTGGATCAATTCAGAATTTAAAATCTTCCTGTTTTTTTTGTTGTTGTTGTTGTTGTTTCACATTGAAAAATCCATCTGATTTAGAAGAATTTTCCTTCTTTTTCTTCTTGTTTTTTCTTTTTCTGAACCCGGATAATTTTTTTTATGAATTGATTTTTTCTGGGTTTTTTTTCTTCTCTGCACACTATATTTTTCTATTCATTCATATTTAGGATTCGGTTTCAATAATCATCATCTTTACTGGTTGATTCGTGTTTTTTGTCATTATCGTTGAATTGATTGCGAAATTTATTATTTCTCTTCTGTTAACTGGTTAACACCTGATTTTTGTCGTTATTCATTTATTCTGATTTTCATTTTCATTTTTGTTTTTCCTGTCCAACTTATATACATTGGTCTTTTTTAATCATTCTTATTACACAAATTGAGCGTGCTATTTCTTTTTTTTTTCTTCTAATTTTTGTCATTTCAATTCAATAAAATTATTACAGAATTTCAGAAACATTCATTACATTCAATTTACACAGAATCTTGTGTTTCAAGAAACAAAACTATTTTTCGTTTATCAATTTGATGATAATGATGATGATGATTATGTAAGAAATGTAAATTTTTTTTCAACTTTCTAATTTTTGTTGTTGTTGATTGCTTTGCTGACCTTTACACTTATCTTATACAGATACAAACACACACACACACACACATACACATGAACAGATGTGCCCTTCAAAATTTCAAATTGTCCTTGAACTGTTGCCCCTTGATGGATGTATTAAGAAAAAGAAGAAAGAAAAAAAAGTAATATTTAAGTTTTACTAAAGAATTTCTTTCATTACATTACATTACTTTTTTTTTGTTAGCTGATTTGTCAATTTGTTGATTTTCATCATTACCTGAAAAAAATCAATTCACATTCCCTTTCGATTTTCATCATTTTTATAATATTTTTTTTTTCATTTTCATTTTCATTTTCTCCCCTCCACACCCCTCATTATCATCATCGTTTTTCCTATTTCAAAAGGAATGGTATGTACAAGACAGCAACAACAACAACAACCTGATTTTCAATATTACCTGGATGATTTGGATTCACTGTATAATGACTATGATGATGATGATGATCATATGATGATTATATAATATTCTAGTTAACAAACAAACAAAAATCAATCTGTTCAAAGTTGGATGGATGATCATCATCACCACCAAAAGAACAAAAAAGAACAAAGAAAAAAACAGAAAAACTCTTTTACAAACAATGAACAAACAAAAAAACTGGCTGATACTGGAATTTTTTTTTGTTGTTTCTCATTTGATACATTCTTGTTTATGGAATACACATTGATGTGGCGGACAGCGCCCGAAAATTTTTACAAATTTTTTTTTCATTGAATTGAATTCTTAATCAATCTTTTTTTGTTTGTTTTTGTTTTTGAGAAAATATCGTTACATTGTATCGAACAATACAACCAGAAAAAAATCCACCAAAACTCTTGCTAGCCTAAATTTGCTTACCTGATTTTTGTTGTTATTATCGGATATCTAAGAAAAACAACAACAAGATGCCTCTAATAATCATCTTCAATTATAAAATTAAACTTTGAAAACTTTTGTTCACTATAAACTTGTAATGCAATACAAGTTTCACCTTTTCTTGTATCCACCTTTATTTTTTGTTTGTCATGGTAAAATGGACCTAGCTCTTTGGTCATTTTTGGTGTCTTTCACAATAGAGAAAGAGTGAGTAAGAAAAAAAACAGGTCCTACCTATTGGGTAAAATTCACTTTGTTGATAATAGAATCATTATGGGATGGATCATTATGGACAAATTTTGGTCTATCGATTATTATTATTTTTTTTGTACATAAACTAACGGCATTTTTTTCCACTAAAGATAAACATCCAGAAACATTTTCAAACATGAATATTGTTTTTCTTATTTTTGTTTTTGTTTTTTAAAAATTGTTGTTGTTGTTGTTTGCACGTCTCTTTTTCAACTTTATTTATATATTTTATTTTTCTTTTTTAAATTTTTTGTTCATTACTTCTGTTCAAGTGTTTCAGTGTGTGTCTGTTTTGGTATTCTCACAAGAAGAGAGAGAGAGAGAGAGGTACAAGTTGATTTTCCAATGGTTTTTTTTTAAAAAAAAGAAAAAAATATATTTTACTTTTCGTCGTTCTTGTTTTTGTCGATGTTCTTTCCTATCCTGTGAATGTGTGTTTTTTTTCATCATCATCATCATCTTCTTCTTCTTGTTCTGTTTCTCTGTGTGTATATTTGGTTATGTAGTTTTGTTGTTGTTGTGAATACGGGATATATAAATATAACCAGTCCGTTTTCATTTGATAACATCCATTTAGGATTCAAACATTGTTGGTTATTCTTGTGGTTATATTCATTTCTTAATGATAAACATTGTTCAATTGTAGTGAAGAAAACAAAAACAAAAAAAAATCAAAAACATTTTTCGTTTCCAATGACGATAACTATTATTATTAATTTTCAATAAATTTTATATATGATTTACAAGTGATAAAAACAAAACAAAACAATTTGACAATGACAATGCATTCACAACGATCATCAACAATTTTTTTAATGAAAAAATTTCTTAATAAACAATCATCATCATCATTATCAACATTATGTTTGAATTGTAAAATGATAAAAAATCCAAAACAAACCCGGTATAATCTGGTCAATGAAAAATCTAATAATAATAATAATGATTACATCATCAATAATAAACGTAATATAATGACAATGATAATAAATAGACAACAAACAACAACAATGGATACAACAACGATGACGCAATCTGATCAAATCCGGTGTCCATTTAAACAACATCATCAAAAAACAACAACTAATCTTAATCATCGACAACAACAACAACATGAAAAAAATCAAATAAAATTTGAAAAAAATTATAAATCATTTGAACAGATACCAACACCGGCCGGTTTACCAATAATTGGAACATTATTCGATTTAATTCGTGCTGGTGGTGCTGAATATGTACATCAATATTGTGATAAACGACATAAACAATTAGGTTCAATTTATCGTGAAAAATTGGGTAATGTTGAAGCAGTATTTGTTGCCGATGCTGAACTTGTACAACAAGTTTATAAACATGAAGGAAAATATCCACAACATATGGTACCTGAACCATGGATTATTTATAATCAAAATAAAGGAATTAAACGTGGTTTATTTTTTATGTATGTTTGTGATTTGCTTTTCCTGTTTCCCTTGAACATTGGAATTTTGAAAATGATTTTTATTTCTCATTATAAATATAGGGAAGGTGAAGAATGGAGTGCTCGTCGTAGTGCATTAAATAAATTATTTCTTAAACCGGATATTATAAATAATTATACTGGAGTTTTAAATCAAGTTGTAATCGATATTATGGATAAATGGTCAACAAAAATGATGGCAAATCATACTGATAATATATTGATTGATGGATTAGAAAAAGAGCTATACAATTGGTCAATTGAATGTAAGTGTTGCTTTGTTTTGTTTTGTTTGATTTGATTTGTTCAGTGTAAAAAGGGAGAAAAAACCCTTTTTTTCTTCTTGGTTTGTTTTGTGGTGGGAAAATGTTTTTATTTCTGTAAATCTGACAGCTGTTATATGAATTTTGTTTTTGTTTTTTCTTTTCTTCTTTCAAATTCTTATTATTTTTTTTTCTAGCATTAGGAACAATGATTTTTGGACGTCGTTTAGGTTGTATAACACCACAACCATCAAGTGCATTACCCGATATACATGAATTTGTTAATTGTGTACAAAGAATTTTTGTTGAATCGGCTAATATGCAATTAATACCACCAAAATTAGCACATTCATTTCGTTTACCAGTATGGAGAAGATTTGAATCAGCAGCTAATAATGCATTAGATTTAGCATTTCAATATGTTGATGAAAATGCAAGACAAATAAAAAAAGAATCAAATAATAATAATCCGAATAATAATCAGAATATTACGAATCAAGGTATTATTAAACAATTATTGAATGGTTGTGATATGAAATTGGATGAAATAAGTCGTATAATTGTTGATTTATTTATTGCTGCTGCTGATACGGTATGTGTGTCAAATTTTTTGATTTTCCAAAAATAAACAACCTAATTCCAACGAAAAATAATTCTTTTTGTTGTTTTTGTTGTTTCGTTTTCGTTTTCGTTTTTTGCATTTAAAATAGACATCACATGCAACTCAATGGGCATTATATTTATTATCAAGACATCCACATGTACAAGAACGTTTATTTGAAGAAATTGAACAGGTTACCGGTGGTGAATCGATCAATGCAAAACATTTACAAAATTTATCCTATGTTAAAGGAATTATCAAAGAATCATTAAGGTAAATTTATATATTTTTGTTTTCTTCGAAAATCTCTTATCGAGTTGAGGAAATACCTTATTTTTTTTTTAAAAAAAGCCAGATAAGGGTCATCTGATGTGTTCTAAAAAAACAAACAAACAAAACCTGTTTTTATTTTCATGTTGTTGAATTTTTTTTTTGTTTTCACCAATAAATTTTGAAAAATCCTCATTTTTTTCTTGTTATTCTTCTTCATCTTTTTCTTTCTTAGACTTTACCCCGTGGCTCCATTTCTTACACGTTATCTATCCGATGATCTTATTCTTGGTGGTTATCATGTACCAAAAGGAGTAAGTTTAAAAAAATTGTTTAAATGAAATATGATGAGTTTGTTTTTTTTTAGGTTAAATCAATAAATGTGTTAATCGATTTGATTTTTTTTCTACTTTTTCATTCATACACTATTTTTTTTTCTTAGCAATTAGTTGTAATATCATTATTTACAACAGGAAGAAAACAAGAATATTTTGAACAACCAGAACAATTTCAACCGGAAAGATGGTTAAGACAAAATGGTCGTAATCGTATTACACATAGCCATGCATGTTTACCATTTGGTATTGGTGTACGTAGTTGTATTGGTCGTCGTGTTGCCGAAATACAGATGCAATTTTTTTTAGCACAGGTTTGTTTGTCTTGTAATAAATTCATTGAATAAAGGAAAATAATCATTCAAAATTATAATGTTTATTTTTTATTTTTTTAAAACAATTTTTATAAAATTTAGCTTGTAAAACGATTCCATATTCATCCAACAAGTGATAAAGAAATTGATATAAAATTACGTATGATAACAGCACCGGAAAAATCGATTGATTTGATTCTTAAACATCGATGATAGTAATGAGAAAACTATTATCGATTTTTTCAATAATTAGAAACCACCGAAAACATAAACAAACAAACATAAATACTTTCAGAAACACAATTTGGACACACATAAACACACTTAATACAAGTAAAAAAGATTAAAACGAAAAACAAAAACAACAACAATAATTTTTTTTATTATAAATTTTTTTTTTGATATCCCATTTTGCTTTCGTATTATTATTATTATAATGATTTTTATTGTAATTTTTGCTCATCATATAGTTTAGGTTATTTTTATTGTAATTTTTTTTCTCTTCAACCATCATCATCATCATCATCATCAAACAAAGAAAATCCATTTTATTAATGTTATCTTGAACAGTGTTCAAGCGTTTGTAGATTCCTTTTTTTTCGTCTAATTCTTTTTTTTACCAATCAATCAATCAGTTTATAGGTAGTATCATTTTTTTTCTCTCTATTTAGGCTTTCTCTTCTTATTTCAATTTTAAATTTTAGTTGAATATTTTCCCAAAAAAAAAACTAACTAACTAACTAACAATCATAGGTAGTATTTATTATTCAATAATGTTTTTTTCATTTGCTTGTTTTTGCTCCGAATATAGTTCAAATAGGATTATTATTATTATTTTTTATCAATATTTTATCAAGATTTGAGAAATTAGAAATAGAAAAATTCCAAAGAAATCAAACTCGTACATGATTGTGACACACATAAATTTTTTCTGATTATATATCTATTTTTAATCACATACAAAAGAAAAAAATTAACAAAATAAAAACAACAAAAACAACAACAAAATCTTGTCATAGGAAAAAAACAACAACAACAACTTTACAACAAACAAAAATCAAAATGTGTAACCATTCTTTCAATAGAAATATTTTTTTGTGATATATTTGAAACACAAACTTTCACAACACAGACACACACTAAATAAATAGATAAATTTTGGAGTAATGCTACTTTTCATAAAAAAACACACATACACACACGCAGACATTACTTGTAATCCAAATACAATTTTAAAAGATGATTCATTCGGACATTATTACGGATTTTTTTCTTTCAATTCTTTTGTTTGATGTGTGATATTTTAAATGATCTTTTTTTTCTACTTTCACCTATATCATCATTTGAATATCAATAAATGGATCGATAATCATATAAATTATTATTTTTCGATTTAGGTAGATTTTAAATGTAATATTTTAGTAATATTTTTTTTAATGAAATAAAAGAATAATAAAATCGATTTGAATTTTGAATGAAAATTTCAATTTTTTTCCCAAAGGATCTATTAGATTTGGCCAATAGTTAACCATCGACATGGTGTTTTAATCATAATCTGATCAATCTGTTCGATAGTTATACCACGACGAAGCATTTTTGGTATAACATTCAATATAATATGTGAATAACCATGTCCAGACCATTTCATTAAACGATGTTTTGTATGAATATCATGTGATATTGTTATATGATCACCATAATTTTCATCGATTAATTTTTTTACTAAACAAATTCGAGCAGAATCATTAGGCATATCAAAATTATCTGCTGCTTCATAATAAGATATTTCTGTACCAAATAAATCAAATTCACAAATCACACCGGTTTGAGCGAAATCAATTAATTGTTCAATATTTAAGGTACCTAAAATAAACAATCAATTCATTTAGATCGTATTTTGAATTGAACAAAATCAATACAAACGTTCAAGATGAGACATGATTGTTTTCGAAACAATGCCACCAGCTTCACTAAATATTCGAATAATTTCGAATGGTGCTTCAGAATGACGACCTGGATGAATGATTACTGGTAATTTTAATTCATTTTGTAATTGAGCAGCTGCAATCAAAACATTTTTTTCAAATGAATCAATTGGCCAACATGATCCAAGTTCACCAATAACACCAGGTTTAATACCATTCACACCCAAAATAAATTCATTTTTCATTATATCATAAAGATTTTCAATCGATTTTGATCGAATTGATTCTGAAAATGCTTGATGTACATAGAAACCAGTACTACCTATAATATTAACATTGGATTTTCTAGAAAATTCAGCTAATCGTGTTAGATCGGTACCAAAAGTAGTAACTTCAACCATTGAATTACCACCATTTGTTTTGAAAAATTTCAATTCATTTTCAATAGCATTTTGTACTTCAACACTAGTCAAATCTAGATTATCTTCATGTGTATGTGGATGATAGGCAGTATACCAAAGATTTTCATTGATAACCGGTGTTGAATTCAAATGAACATATTTATTGTCCAATGGTTTTGTAACAAAATAAGATGTATAAGCTTTATGATAAAGATGTTCATGACATAAAGTAAATCCTAATTGATTCGGTTCAATTGGACCAAGTACTTGTAAAAAAAAGGATTCAAACAAAAAACAAAAATTCATTCAAATCAATAAAATACTTTGATAGTTTTGCTTACCTGTTTGAATATACGGTCGTGTTGATGAGTCCATTAAACAAAATTTTTGCAATTTTCAATTTTTATTATTTTTCTCAAAATACACCTGTTGATATCATATAATTGTCGAAATCGGCGACATCTAGTGTCGATTTTTTTGGATTAATCAAAATTATCAAAAATTATCAAAAAATTTTATTTAATCATTTAAAATATGAAAGCACACTGTCAGAAATTATGATAATAATTATAATGATTTATTTTTAGGATAAGAAAACAAAACATGATAAACAAAATTTGCATAAAATGAAAAAGAATTAATGATTTGAATTTGGAATTAATTTTCATAATTACAAGCTTGTTTATATAACAACAAAAATAACGGTATATTCATTAGGATTAATTCAGTAAATTTATATTTATTTATATGAAATAAATGTCCACATGTAAAACCAAGTTGATTATTAACCATTGTTTGTGCAAATAAATTTGCTTTAATCAATAATCGATATTGAATACGTTGATAAAGACGACCATAATGTTTTGATGGTTTTGATTGTGTTAATGATTGTGTTCGAATTATCCATCGTAATATTGAACGAAAACATTGTTCATTATATGTAGGTATTATAGCTATACGTGCATATAAAACCTCAACACATAAAAAAATAACTATACCGATAAACGTAAGAAATGTACTGGCAATAGTCATTGTTTTTTGTTGACTATAAAATATACATGATGTCATTATTGCTGATTTAGATATCAATTCAACAGCCAATAGTATAACTTTTGCTGATTCATTTAATTTAGAAATTCTTGAATATAGTATTATATATGGATCATGAAATTCATTCCAAAATCTTCTATTAACTATATTTGATGCTTCATTCCAAAAGAATGTTAATGATAATGCAAGAATTTTTAATCGTTTTAATTTTTCACGAAACAATATGAAAAAACAGAAAAAAACTGTACCCGATGTAAAAAATTGACCAATCATATACATAAAATTTATAGAAAACAATAATATCAATGGAATATTTGTAAGAAATTGAGTTAAAACAATATTTCCATTTTGATATGAAATAAAATTTGTAAATAAAAAAAATATACAAACATTGATTAAAAAGAAAATAACAAATGAATAGATAGAATAAGCAACAAATTTAACAATTGAAAAATATTTCATAAGATATTTTTTCATTTTTAAATCAATTTTTTGATCTTCAATTGGAAGATCAATTGCAAATAAATTCAAATACTGACATGTATATGTTAATGCTTCTTTTAGAAAAAATATCCATAACCATTCTTCAATAAGACTTGCTACAATAACTTCAGCAAATACTATATCAATTCGTTGTACTTGTATTATTTGTTCAAAATAATTACAATCTACTAGCCAATTGTTTGTTGGACAGAATATAATCAATATTAATAAAAGAATCAATATCCATAAATTCATTGTAATCAATAATGATAATTTAAATGTTTGAAATGTTTTTGATATTTTTTGATGATGATAATTTTCTAATGAAAAATTCATTCGAAAACTAAATATTTTAATAATAGGAAAATCATCATCAAACATATCCATAATTGTTACATTTTGATTTTGTCGTAAGATTGAGAAATTAAGATTTCTGATAAAAATCTTTAAAATGGACAACATTATGATGAAATATGTTGATATAGTTGATTATTGAAAATTAAATTTGTTTGAAAATTTTTACAATAAAAAAAAGTAACAATTTATTTTTAAACAGTGTTTTGTATTTTCAATCCGAATACAAAGTTTATATTGAATGAGAAAAATTTTCGCTTTTTTCTACTTAATTCGATGAAATGATTTTCCAGTATCTCAATATCTTTCAATGGAAATTTTTTTTTTATCATTGTAATAATTGATCAAAAAATTTTTTTTTTGCCAATTCATTAATAGTTGAAGTATTTACTAAATATGATAAATTATCGTTCCTATGGTAATCATCATTTTATTCCTTAAAACTTTTCATATCACTACTATTTTCATTTTTTCGTTCAATTATTATTAGTTTATTTTTAAAGAATATTTTAAGAAAACAAAAGAAAAACAATTGATTCAAGAAGTTTTAAGAAAATTTATTGTATATGATCAAACTGATGAAAAAAAATATTTGAAGAGTAATTTTCGGGAAAAAAATACAAACCAAAAAATCGATTATAAATTTTGTTAAAAAATAAAAGGAAATTTCATTTAACTAAAGCACCATTAGAACAGTATTGATTTCCTATCAATAATGTTGAAATGTCAGAATAATCATCGTTATTTTTTTGGAGGGAATTTCTTTTTTTCAGCTTGATTCTTTGGAATCATCATTTTCGATATTTGAAAGATATTTAATGCTTAATCGATATGAATTTTCTTGGTTTATCATTTATAATTTCAAAAGAAAACATTTAAATTCAAATTAGGAAAAAAAAGTTATCTGATGATAAAAATATTGAATTTTTCTTTGGAAAAAAATTTTATTACACCTAAAAATAAGCTATAATCTGAAATGATTTGATTTAAAAATAATTAATTTTCATAATGAGATGCATGTTTATATAACAATAAAATTAACGGTATATTCATTAGAATTAATTCAGTATATTTAAATTTATTTATATGAAATAGATGACCACATGTTAAACCAAGTTGATTATTAGCCATTGTTTGTGAAAATAGATTTGCTTTAATCAATAATCGACTTTGAATACGTTGATAAACACGACCATAAAATTTTGATCGTTTTGATCGTATTGATTGTTTTAATGATTGTGATTGTATTAACCATCGTAATATGTATCGAAAACATTGTTCATTATATGTTGGTAATGTAGCTATGCTCATATATAATACACTAACACAAAGGAAAACAACAATACCAAGAATTACAATGAATAAATTTGACCAATTCATTTTGATTTGTTGACTAAAAAATACACATGATGACATTATTACAAATTTAGCAATCATTTCCATTGCAACAAGAATAACTTTTGCCGATTCATTTAATTTAGAAATTCTTTTATATAAAATTATATATGGATCATGAAATTCATTCCAAAATCGTTTATTAACTAATTTTGATGTTTCATTTGTTGTATATGATGATAATGATAATGCAATCATTCGTAATTGTTTTAATTTTTGTAGAAAAAATATTAAACAACATAGAAGAAACGAACCAGATGCAAAAAATTGACCAGTCATATATGTAAGACTCATAAATAGTAATGTTAAAAATGGAATATTGGTTAGAAATTGAATGAAAAAAATATTNTTTTACAATCGAAAAATATTTGTTTAGATATTTTTTCATTTTCAAATTCATTTTCTGATGATCATCGGGAAAATCAAACGTTATGAAATTTAAATATTGACAATTATATGTTAATGCTTCTTGTAGAAAAAATAACCATAACCATTCTTCAATAAAACTTATAACAATAACTTCAACAAATATTAGATCAATTCGTTGTACTTGTAGTATTTGTTCAAAAAATTTACAATCAACTAGCCAATTGTTTGTTGGACAAAATGTAATCAATATTAATAATAATATTAATGTCCATAATTTTATTGTAATCCATGTTGATAATTTTAATGTTTCATATGATTTTGTTATTCGATGATGATGATAATCTTCTAATAAAAAATTCATTCGAAAACTAAAAAATTTAATAATTGTAAAATCATCATGAAACATTTCCATAATTGATACATTTTTGTTTTGTCGTAAAAATGAAAAATTAAGATTACGTATGAAAATTTTTGAAATAGTAGACATGATTTTATGATTTGTTGACTGAATGAATTGAATTTACTAGCAAAATGACTTTTTTTTCGTTTGTTCTATTGTGTTTTGTGAACGAATCAAATGATTTTATTCAAATTTTCATAATGCATAGTTTTTTTTCCTTCAATTTAAAGCAAAAATGTATTGCAAAATCTTTGTATGGTTATAAATTTAATGATATTCGATAATAATATTGATGACATAAACTTAAAATTATTGATTGTTTCTTATTTATTATTACAAAAAAAAGCATTCAATTGAAAAAAAAACAAAAATAAGTGCATTTTTTCTAATGAAATTCCTCTGTTGTCAAGGTGATTAAATGTTTGTTGTTTTTCAAAACATCAAAATCAAGAGAAATAAAATAAATTCAAATGAAATAAAATTCTAAAGAATTCTAATTCGGGTTATATAACCGAAAATCAGAATAATCCGGTAATAGGATTTTATAATATAGTATTTATTCTTGTAATGATATTTAACAACAAATTCAATAATTACAATTATAATCTATATTTGAAAATTTCGAAATAATAATAATGATCTAAAAAGAACCTTGAAAATAATGAATTTTTTGTTTTCATTAACCAAAGAGTAACGGAAGATTTTTTTTATTATTACTTTCGTTAGTTTGACAATTTCAAATTGAATTAATTTTCTTATTATTTGGTTTAATGACGACAAAAAACGAAAAAATCATCATGACGAAAAAATTGAAAGTATTTTCATAAAATCTAAATACAGTAGATTTTAGCTATAGAAGAAGAAAGAGAAAAATTGAATGAGAAAAATTTCGCTTTTTTTTCCTCAATTCATATGTTTTCGATAAAATGATTTTCAGTACCAGAAATTTTAGTATCTCAATATCTTTCAATGGAAATTGTAATAATTGATCTCAATTTTTTTTGTTTTCCAATTCATTAATAGTTGAAGTATTTGCTATGATAAATTATCGTTTCTATGGTAATCACTTTTATTCCATAAAACTTTTTTATATGATTATTCTCATTTTTGTTCAATCATTATCGTTATTTTTTTCAGAATATTTTTTCTTAAAAAAAACAAAAGAAAAACAATTGATTCAAGTTGAAGAAAATTTTTCTTATATGATCAAACAGAATAAATATTTAAAGAGTAATTTTATGGGAAAAAAACAAACCAAAAATCGATTATAAATTTTGTTGAAAAAAAATAAAAGGAACTTGAGCCCCATTAGAAAATTATTGATTTCCCATCAATAATGTTGAAATGTCAAGATAATCATTATTCTTTTTTTTTGATAGGAATTTCTTTTTTTTCAGCTTGATTCTTTGGAATCATCATTTTCATTAGCTTTAATATTTGAAAGATATTTAACACGTTCGCTACCGGAGTTTAAAAAAAAAACACATTGAAATACAGCAAATGGGCAACGCATGTATTCTGGTAGCGAACGTGTTAATACTTAATCGATATGAATTTTCTTCATTATCATTTATAATTTCAAAAGAATAAAACATTTAAATTCAAATTAGGAAAAAAAAGTTAGATTTTTATCTGATGATAAAAATATTGAATTTTTCTTTTTGGAAAAAAAATTTTATTACATCCAAAAAAATAAACTAGAATCTAAATTGATTTGATTAAAAAAAATTAATTTTCATAATGAGATGCATGTTTATATAACAATAAAATTAATGGGATATTCATTAAGATTAATTCAGTATATTTAAATTTATTTATATGAAATAGATGACCACATGTTAAACCAAGTTGATTATTAGCCATTGTTTGTGAAAACAGGTTTGCTTTAATCAATAATCGAAATTGAATTTGTTTAAAAAAACGGCTATAAAATTTTGATCGTTTTGTTCGTATTGATGATTGTGTTTGTGATTGTATTAACCAACGTAATATGTATCGAAAACATTGTTCATTATATGTTGGTAATGTAGCTATACTCATATATAATACACTAACACAAAAGAAAACAACAATACCAAGAATTACAATGAATAAATTAGACCAATTCATTTTGATTTGTTGACTAAAAAATACACATGATGACATTATTACAAATTTAGCAATCATTTCCATTGCAACAAGAATAACTTTTGCCGATTCATTTAATTTAGAAATTCTTTTATATAAAATTATATATGGATCATGAAATTCATTCCAAAATCGTTTATTAACTAATTTTGATGTTTCATTTGTTGTATACGATGATAATGATAATGCAATCATTCGTAATTGTTTTAATTTTTGTAGAAAAAATATTAAACAACATAGAAGAAACGAACCAGATGCAAAAAATTGACCAGTCATATATGTAAGGCTCATAAATAGTAATGTTAAAAATGGAATATTGGTAAGAAATTGAATGAAAAATATACTTTCATTTTGATATGATATGAAATTTTCAAATATAATCAATATCCATAAAATAATTGAAAATAAAATAACAAATAAATAGCTAAAATAAGTTGAAAATTTTACAATCGAAAAATATTTGTTTAGATATTTTTTCATTTTCAAATTCATTTTCTGATGATCATCGGGAAAATCAAACGTTATGAAATTTAAATATTGACAATTATATGTTAATGCTTCTTGTAGAAAAAATAACCATAACCATTCTTCAATAAAACTTATAACAATAACTTCAACAAATATTAGATCAATTCGTTGTACTTGTAGTATTTGTTCAAAAAATTTACAATCAACTAGCCAATTGTTTGTTGGACAAAATGTAATCAATATTAATAATAATATTAATGTCCATAATTTTATTGTAATCCATGTTGATAATTTTAATGTTTCATATGATTTTGTTATTCGATGATGATGATAATCTTCTAATAAAAAATTCATTCGAAAACTAAAAAATTTAATAATTGTAAAATCATCATGAAACATTTCCATAATTGATACATTTTTGTTTTGTCGTAAAAATGAAAAATTAAGATTACGTATGAAAATTTTTGAAATAGTAGACATTATGATTTGTTGACTGAATGAATTGAATGAATTGAATTTACTGGCAAAATGACTTTTTTTTTGTTTGATCTATTGTGTTTTGTGAACGAATCAAATGATTTCATTCAAATTTTCATAATTTTTTTTCCTTCAATTTAAAGCGAAAATGTATTGCAAAATCTATTTATGGTTATAGATTTTATAATATTCGATAATAATATTGATGACATAAACTTAAAATTATTGATTGTTTCTTATTTATCATTACAAAAAAAAAGCATTCAATTGAAAACAAAAACAAAAATAAGTTCATTTTTTTAATGAAATTCCTCTGTTGTCAAGGTGATTAAATGTTTGTTGTTTTTTGAAACATCAAAATCAATAGAAATAAATACAAATGATACCATAAAATTCTAATTCGGGTTATATAACCGAAAATCGGAATAATCCGCTAATAGGATTTTATAAGAAGATAGATTTATTCTTTGTAATGATATTTTACAACAATTTCAATAATTAAAATTATAATCTATCTTTAAAAAATTTCGAAATAATAATAATCTAAAAAGAACCTTGAAAATAATGAATTTTTGTTTTCATTAACCAAAGAGTAACTAAAGATTTTTTATTATTATTACGTTACTTAGACAATTTCAAATTGACTTATTTTCTTATTATTTGGTTTAAGTAAAAGCTGTAGCTAAACAAAGTCATTAGAGTTGTTTTCATTTAATTAATTAATTAAAAAAATTCATTAATTACAATGTAAAATTATGTACACACAATTTTGAGAGAAATTTTTTACAAAAAACAAAAACAAACCTTTTTCTTATTTCATTTGGTTATTATCTTTCAAAATTAAAGGAATTTCTTTCAAGTTTTTTCTACCGAAAAATAATTTTTTAAAATACAAAATCCCACAATAATGGCATCAAGAAGTTTCAATCGAGTTTTTCCATATTTACAACAAAAACAACAACCAATGAAAAGATCAATTGTGGAAATGTTTTCCAATGATTATTCATGGATAAAATTGTTTGTTTTTCGTATGAATTTTTCATTATTAGATTATCGTAACCGAACAATAAATAAAACATATGAAACATTCAAACCAACCATTTGGATTATTCTAAATTCATGGTCATTTATAATTATGACGATGATAATTTTTTGTCCAATCAATGGTGATAAAACAATATTGAATCAATTTTATGGAGAAATTTTAGATGTAAAACAAACGTATATATCAATTTATGAATTTATTATCATGTGTATTACAATTGAATTGATGTGTTTTTTTCATAATAAACATATTATTAATTATTGTGATCAATTTATGGAATTTTTCGTTATCAATTTACCTGTTTATGAACCTAAAATGAATGTTGAAATGAAAAAATTTCTAACAAATTTTTATTCGACAGCAAAATTCATAGCTATTAGTCTCATAATATGTAACATTATATTGATTATCATTGGATTACCATATTGTTTTGGTTATTTAATTGTTTACTACTTTTATAATCAAATTAATTTGATTGAATTTATATTTATTTCATTACATTCTATATTGTTTAGTAATGAAATTTTATTTTTAGCTTGTTTTTCTCAAATTTCTGGTGCTCTATTTATATTTTGTTTATTATTTTTTCAACAACGTATAAAACGATTATATAATATTTTATCATTATTGAAACGAAAATCAAAATCATCATCATATTTGATTACGCAATTATTTTGGAATCATTTTCATAATGAATATGTAAAATTATATGCTGAAATCCATCAATTCAATCAATCGGCAAATATTACATTACTGGCAATTGATTTTATGTCACGAACATCAATAATAGCTGCATGTATATTAAGTGGACAGCCACAATTTCTTAATATGATTCCTATTATTGGTTTTACTAATGTTTTTCTATTTGTTAATGGATTATATTCATATATATCAATAATACCAGCTTATAATGATAAATGTTGTCGATCTATATTACAATGGTTGGCTAGATCACAATTTTCAATGCGAAAAACAAGAAATCAATCGATTAGATTTCATTATTATCAAATACGAATATGGCAAAAATCATTAAAATCCAATCTATTCATACAAATGATAATCAATAATAAAATTGGTTTTACTTGTGGACATTTTTTTCATATTAATCGATATAAATTTACTGAATTAATTTTATTAAATGTACCATTGATTTTATTGTTTTATAAACATGTTTATTATTATTAATAGTTGATCAATATGTTGATGAATTATATTGAAATTAAATTGAATAAAATTTTGTTTCATTTAAATTGTATGATACCCCCGAATATCGAAGAAAAGTGATTGCATTCATGCGTATTATTTTTTGTTGCTTCCTTAAAACTTAAGATCTATTAGACTCTAATAGATGAAAATTTTTCATCAAAACAGTTGATAACATTAATTGATTTCCAATGAAACCTTATTTAGTTGTTTTGCATGTCGATAAATTATATTTGAAAATATTCACAAAAAAAAAAAATAATTTTTAACAAGAATCGGCCCAATTTAAAACTACAAAAAAATTGTCATTTGAAAGATATCTTTTTCTCTGTAATAAACAAAAAGATAGGATATTTTTTTACGATTTCAATTGCAAAGAAAAATAACTTGCAAAGAAACAAGTTCGTCATGAAATGAAATAGAGAAAATATGTTCAACATTCCACTTTTCAATCATTTTCATTCAACAACAAAATTGTAATCATAAAAACTTTATCAAAAATGACATCAATATTAACTATAATAAAACGAAATTTAAGCCTTTCATTATTGAAACAAAATCATAGAAAATCATTATTGGAAATTTTATCCGAAGATTTTTTACTATTGAAGATATTTGTATTTCGAATGAATTTTACATTATCTGATTATCATTGGCATCGTATAACAAAAACAACTAAAGTATTTAAGCCAGCAATTTTTTGGGCAACAATTGCATGGCTATTTATATTTTCATTAATAATGATGCAAAATGGTTGGCNAAAATCCCACAATAATGTCATCAAGACGTTTCAATCGAATTTTTCCATATTTACAACGAAAACAACAACCAATGAAAAGATCAATTGTGGAAATGTTTTCCAATGATTATTCATGGATAAAATTGTTTGTTTTTCGTATGAATTTTTCGTTATTAGATTATTGTAACCGAACAATAAAGAAAACATATGAAACATTCAAACCAACCATTTGGATTATACCAAATTCATGGTCATTTATAATATTGACAATAATAATTTTTTGGTCCAATAATAATAAAATAAATCAATTTTATGAAGAAATTTTAGGTCAAAATTTGAATATATCAATTAATCAATTTATTCTCCTGTGTATTACAGTTGAATTTATGTGTTTTTTTCATCTTAAACATACTATCAATTATTGTGATCGATTTATGGAATTTTTTGCTATTAATTTACCTATTTATGAACCTAAAATGAATGTTGAAATGAAAAAATTTCTAATTAATTTTTATTTATTTGGAAAATATATCAGTTTCAATATCATAATATTTGTTATTATATTGATTATCATTGGATTACCATATTGTTTTGGTTATTTAATTATACACTACATTGATAATCGAATCAATTTATTGGAATTTATATTCATTTCAATACATTCTATATTGTTTAGTTTTGAAATTTTATTTTTAGCTTGTTTTTTTCAAATTTCTGGTGCTCTATTTATATTTTGTATATTATTTTTTCAACAACGTATAAAACGATTATATAATATTTTATCATTATTGAAACGAAAATCTCCATCATCATCATATTTGATTACGCAATTATTTTGGAATCATTTTCATAATGAATATGTAAAATTATATGCTGAAATTAATAGATTTAATCAATCGGCAAATATTACATTACTGGCAATTGATTTTATGTCACGAACATCAATAATAGCTGCATGTATATTATGTAGACAGACACAATTTCTTAATATGATTCCTATTATTGGTTTTACTAATTTTTTTATATTTGTTAATGGATTATATTCATATATATCAATAATACCAGCTTATAATGATAAATGTTGTCGATCTATATTACAATGGTTGGCTAGATCACAATTTACAAAGCGAAAAACAAGAAATCGATCGATTAGATTTCATTATTATCAAATACGAATATGGCAAAAATCATTAAAATCCAATCTATTTATACAAATGATAATCAATAATAAAATTGGTTTTACTTGTGGACATTTTTTTCATATTAATCGATATAAATTTACTGAATTAATTTTATTGAATGTACCATTGATTTTATTGTTTTATAAACATGTTTATTATTATTAATAAATTTATTATTAATATTAATAACCCGGTACCTTTAATAGGATTTTATAAAATACATTTATTGTTATAATAATTCAATAATTTGCAACAAATTGATAAATACAATGGAGAAGAATAAAATTTCGAAATGATCTAAAAAAAACCTTGAAAATAAAGAATTTTTACTTTCATTAACCAAAGAGTGACATAAGAATTTTTGTTTGTTTTGTCAGTTTGACAAGTTCAAATTGAATTATTTTCTTTCTTTTTTTTTTTGGTTCAAGTACAAGTCTTCATTAATCTATACATATCTATGTGAATGTCGACGATAATTAAATTTTAAAAAATCAATTTTTTTCAAATCATTATCATCATCATTTTTTTTTTTGCTAATTATTTTCTATCCATAAAATCCATCATAGATTTTAGCTATTGAAGAGGGAAGAGAAAGAAAATGAAAATGAAAATCATTAGATTTTTTTTTACATTTAATTAATTAAAAACAACATAAATTCATTAATTAAGGTTTAAAATTATGTACACATAATTCTGAAACCTTTTTTATTTCATTTGGTCTTTATCATTCAAAATTGAAGAAATTTAATTGGCATAGAAACAAGTTTGTTATGGAATAGAGCAAGTTGTAAAACATTACATTTTCTATCTATCATTTATTTTACAACAAAAACTCCATCAAAAATGGCATCAATATCAACTATAATTCAACAAAATTTAAGCCTTTCATTGTTAAAACAAAATCATAGAAAATCATTATTGGAAATTTTATCCGAAGATTTTTTATTATTGAAAATATTTGTATTTCGAATGAATTTTACATTATCTGATTATCATTGGCATCGTATAACAAAAACAACTAAAGTATTTAAGCCAGCATTTTTTTTGGCAACAATTGCATGGCTATTTATATTTTCATTAATAATGATACAAAATGATTTGTTTATCAATAAAAAATTTTTTGAACAAGCATTTAATTTTCAAAGTTCTGATTTGATATTATTTCTTGGTATATATTCGATTTTTGTTAAAGAATGTTCATGGTTACATTGTACAAAAGAAGTTTTAAATTATCAAAGTCGATACATTGATTTTTTATTATATGATCTACCTGATTACAATCGTAATTGTGACAATAAATTGAAAATATATTTGAACAATTGTAAAGCTATTGCAAATTTCATCATTACTTGGATATATTTATCCATAATTTTATTGTTGATTATAATAAGTATTCTAGTTCCTTATTGGTATTATCTGTTATATAAAGAAAATCAGATTAATTTTCTTCAATTTCTATATAATATTCCATGGGCATTTTTACTTGCAATGGAAGTGATTAACGTAATTGGTCAATTAACTATTCCAATAATTTTTTTATTAATCTGCATGATACTTTTTATCGAAAAAATCAAACGTTTATCAATAGTTTCAGCTTCATTAGTTCATCATTCATATAAATCATTATATTTTGATAGAGAAATATCATGGAATCGATTTCATAGAGAATATATTGTTCTATATTCAGTTATTGCTCGATTGAATCAATCAGCAATGTATATTTTTCTTGATCTTGAATTTATTAATAAATCAGCAGCAATGTGTGCATGTGTATTCTATAGTAGACAAGACAAAATGAATTTAAGCAATACTTTATTCATATTTATGATGATATGTTCGGTTTTATCAGCAAATCTTGTATATTATCAAATAGCAAAACTTCCCACATACAATACAAATTGTATACGTAATTTGTTACGATGGTTAGCACGTTTACAATGGTCAACAAAATTTGAATGGAAAGGAAAACGAAAAATATTCATTTATAAAATTCAACAAATTCAATGGCGTCATTCATTAAAATCAAATCTATTCATACAGACATTAACTAATAATAAATTTGGTTTTACATGTGGTCATTTATTTTTTATAACAAAATATAAATTTATTGAATTAATTTTGTTAAATATACCATTAATTTTAATGCTTTATAAACATGTTTATCGTTCAACAATTTTAATTAATTAAAGTTGCATTTATTAAAAACAGAATATAATGATAATCATTATATATATTTTTATAGTAAATAAAATCAAATATTTATTTAAAATTATAAATAAAATAGAAATTGTTACAATAATGATCAATAACAAACAAGATGAATAAAATATAATATCAAAGGATTTACAATCTGTTTGTTTAGCTACAGTGTTCAAAATGTTTCTATTCAGTTTTGGAAATTTTGGGATTTATCAATTCGAATTTTAACTTGATAATTCATGCGCATTAATTAACATACGTTGATTATCTTGTCATGTTTTATCTGTAAATAGAATATTTTTTTGTAAAATAGTTTATTTATTGATTTTTGTAAACATTCAAATCATCATAATGATAAACATGTTTATAAAGCATTAAAATTAATGGTATATTTAAAAGAATTGATTCAATAAATTTATATTTTGTTATGAAAAATAAATGACCACATGTCAAACCAAATCTATTGTTAGTCATTGTCTGTATGAATAAATTTGATTTTAATAAATGTCGCCATTGAATTTGTTGAATTTTATAAAAGAATATTTTCCTTTTTCCTTTGCATTCGAATTTTGTTGTTGATTGTGAACGTGCCGACCATCGTAACAAATAATGTATACATTTTGCATTATATTCGGGAAGTGTTGCAATTTGATGATACATAAGATTTGCTGATAAAACATAAAATATCAGAATCAATGTAAATGACGTATTGTTTAAACCCATTTTGTCTTGTTTACTATAGAATACACATGCAAACATGGCTGATGCTTTATTAACAATTTCAAGATCAAATAGAATATACATTGCTGATTGATTCAATCGAGCTAGAATTGAATATAGAACAATATATTCTTTATGAAAACGAATCCATGATATTTTTCTAACAATATTTGACAATTTATGAGAATTATTAATTAATAATGCTGAAACAATTGATAAATGTTTGATTTTTTCTCGAAAAAATATTACAAATATCAGTAAAAACATTAATGGAAAAACAAATTGACTTATTATGTTGATCATTTCTATTGCAAGCGAAATTGTAAATGGAAAACTAATTATAAATTGAAAATAATCAACATGATTTCTTTTATATAGAAGATAATACCAATAAGGAAGAAGAATGAAAATAAAAACCATCAATAAAAATGTAATTAGATATAACACAGTAATGACAAATTTTAAGATAGCAATACAATTATTCAAATATATTTTCAATTTATTATCACATTTACGATTGTTATTGGATAGATCATATAATAAAAAATCAATGTAACGATTACGATAATTTAAAATTTCTTTTGTACAATGTAACCATGAATATTCTTTAAGAATAATATAGTATACACATGGATTTATAAGCAAATCAAGTCTTTGAACATTCATTATTTGTTCGGTCAATTTAATTTTAAAAAGCAAACCATTTTGTATCATTATTAATGAAAATAAAAATAGCCATGCATTTGTTGCCAAAAAAAATGATGGTTTAAATACTTTGTATGTTTTTGCTATTCGATGCCAATGATAATCGGATAATGTAAAATTCATTCGAAATACAAATATTTTCAATAGTATAATTTCTTCGGATAAAATTTCCAATAATGATTTATTTTCAGGATTTTGATTCAATAATGAAAGGCTTAAATTTCGTTTGATTATATTTAATATGGATGCCATTTTTCTTTTTTGTTGAATTTTTTGTCATGGATGTTGAAAGATTTGCTCTGTCCTTTAACGATCTTTAAAACTAATGATTGTTTTTTTTATTTGTCAAATATCAAATATGAAAAAAATATCATAACTCTTTGTTTATCTTGGTAATTTTTGTGATAGTTTTAAATTTAACTAATTCTTCTTTTGAAATAAGATGAAAATTCTGAATGATTCTTGTACAATCATCATCCATTGACAAACAACAATTTGATCAGGTTAGGTTTCCTTGGCAATTAATTAATTTCATGTCAAAAAAAAGAAATGTTAATAGTACATTTTTTGGACAACAACGTTTTCAATTTAAACTCAAAAAGTTTTCGGTTTCCTTGTTTTTCTTTTCTTCAAGTTTCCAATAATTTCAACTTGTTAATTGAAGTAAATTAACCAAAACTATAATTTCAAATATACTTTCGTTACTTGACGACAAAGATCGATTTTATTTAACATAATTTAATTCATTATTTATAAAACATTTTATTCAATAAAATTTTATTTATGAAATGCCAAGAATTAAAAAAAAAACAAACATTAATTTCATAGATGAAACATTATATCATAAAAACAATTAATTATTTTGTAAATTTTTCCAAAAGTAAAATAATTGATTATTAAAACAAATTTGTTTATAAAAAAGTAATATCCATGGTATATTTAACATTAATAATTCAAAAAATTTATATTTATTAATATAAAATAATGGACCACATGTAAAACCTAATCGATTATAAGTCATTGATTGTATAAATAAATTTGTTTTGATTGATTGTCTTATTTGTGAATATCGTTTAAATTTTGATTGCCATTGTAAATGTACTAACCATTGTAAAAGATTTTTTGTACATTGTTCATTATAGCTTGGAAGACAGGCTATTTTTGCATAAGCAAAATTCATAAATATAAATACCGATAACAATATTGATACAAATAATGTATTAATTAATGACATTTTTTGTTGTCGACTATAAAATACACAGGCAATCATAATTGATAATTTGGATAATGTTTCCAATGCGAATAGAATTATTTTTGCTGTACAATTTAAACGATAAATTTCATTATATAAAATAATATATTGATAACAGAATTGATTAAAATGAATTTTATCCATAAAATAATTTGAATTTTGTTTGATCGACATTGAAACATTATGTAATCGTTTGATTCGTTCTTTGAAAAATATCAATGAAAAATAGGATAATTTTCCCGATGTAAATAATTGTCCAGTAATGCATAGGATTTCAGCTTCAATAATAATTGTAAATGATGTACTAGTAAGAAATTCATTCAAATTAATTTGATTTTCTAGATAAAATTTCAAACATATTAATGGAACTAAAACACTGAAACAAGCAATTAAAATAATAAGATTTAGATAAACACCAGTAACAATAAAATTTACAATTGCTTGAAATTTGATTAAAATTTGTCGCATTTGTTCATCTATTTTAGGTTCAAATTTAGGTAAATCTACAGTGAAAAATGTTAAAAATGATGAACGATATTCCAATGTTTCAACGAAATAAACAGTCCAAAGAAATTCAAGTATAATGCATGTAAATAAAATTTCCATTACGATTAAATCACAACGATTTGTATCAAGCATTTTTTCATAAATTTTTAGATCAATTAGCAAAGTATTTGAAGGAAAAATTATCAATAATAATGTATAAATAATGGTCGACCATGAAATTAATGTTAACCATATGGCTGGTTTAAATGTTTGAATATTTTTCGATATACAATGATATTTATAATCAATTAATGAAAAATTCATACGTAAATTAAAAAATGCAAACATTTTAAAATCTTCATATAACGATTCAATAATTTTAACATCATTTTTATATTGTAATAATTCGAGACTAAGATTTTTTCTTATCAATTGCAATAAAGATGATGACATTTTTCTTCTTCTTTTTTTCTATTTTGTTTGTTTGATTCAGAATGAATGAATGGAATGGAATATATATAAAAATTTAAAATAATTTTTTTTTTCATCGTTGAACGTCAGTTGATAATAAAATCAATGAAAAGTTTTTTTTTCATTTTTTAAAAAAGTTTAAGCTAAAAATAATATTTTAACAAAGAATTCACACGAAAAAAAGTGAAAAAAATTCTGGTGCACAGCAAAAAAAATCATTTCAATCCAGGTATAAATTATGTGGAAAAAGTTACAATAGTACATGATCAATTATTTGATATTTGAAAAGTTTTTTTTTGTTGGAATTCATAGAATAAATTTGCCAACATTAGAAAAATTTTTTACTTGAATAATGAAATTATGGTTCAAAAACTGTGACGGTTCATATTTTGTTATATTAAAAACTATTACATAACCAAATTCATCATAAAATAAATGATATTTATTAATAGTAAAATTTATCGTTTTTTTTCTGTCCCTTTTTTACGAATTATTTTTACAAAAAAATTGTCAAAAATGTTTTTCTGTTATCTCAAAAATTATTGTCATACACATTAAGTTTTTGTTTTAAAGAAAGTATTAAAAAAAAATTACAATTTTCCATTAATAAGATAACGTAATGTCCATGTAACAATAAGAAATCCATATGATGATATAATTCCCAATAAATAATCGACCAATGTTCCTGGACCAAAATATTTTCGATGACTTTCATGATCGCCTGTTCGTTCAATACGTTTTTGTATAATTTTTTTATCAGCTTTTTTACGATCATAAGCTAATCCTAACCAAACACATAGATCAATAAATGCAGTTGTTATATTAAAACATTCTAACCATCCATGTTCACTTGCAGAATAATCCCATGGAAATGCATGATGATAATTATGATAACCTTCACCCATACTAGCATAAACAACCATACGATTTTCTCTTGGTTCCATTGATTGATCATACATACGATAACCATATAAATGTGCAGCCGAATTTACAAGCCATGCATAATGTAATGATAAAACATAACGTACAATAACGGCACCAAAAAAACAATCAACCATTGTATATCCAGTTACATAATGACAAAAATAAGTTGGTAATATACCCCATAATAATAATACTAATGGTATATAAAAACGTCTTTGAAAACGAACAACCGGATCAGACCAAACATCAGATAAATCGATTGTTTTTCCTTTACTAATAACATCTGGATGTTTTCGTACCATAAGCCAACCCATATGTGAAAAAAAGAAACCACGACGTGCATTATATGGATCAGAATTTGTATCACTATGTTTATGATGTAAACGATGATCACGACACCAATCATAAATATCATTCTGTAATGCCATTGTTTGTAAAATCATTAAAAATATTCGTAATGGTAAACGTGCACGATATGATCGATGTGACCATAATCGATGACTACCAGCTAATACACCTAATGCAGATATACGTGCAAGAATATCGGGCCAGAATAAAACATACCATGTTATACGATTGTCTAAACCAAAATAAATATATGCATAAACAGCTAATAAATGCAATAATATCATTGCAAAAACATTTCGCCAAACAATTTGTCGTCGATATACATAGCCATTACAATCATTTGTTGATTCATGTTGTTTATTATCATTATCATTATTATTATCTTCAATAGAATTCATTTTTTTAACAATAAATTCTTTTTGATTATCAGAATCACAGAATAATTGTTCACATTGAATATTTGATGTACTGTTGACCATTTTTTCTTGTTTTTCTTACGAATTTGATCAGCAAAACAATTTTTTTTTTGTTGTTGACAATTTTCACATCACAATGTTCAATGTATAATCGAATTTGTTTCGGATGTTTAAAGTCTGATGGTAATGATGATAATGTGAACGATGAAAATTCAATTTGTCTCACCAAACGAGATATTATAACACACCTTTTATGTTGTTTCTATTATTATCACACACACATCAAACATCACATCACATCAAATAACAATCATCATCATTTGTTCAGTTTGAAAAAAAATGTAAAGTGTTGTTTGACCATTTCTATTTTATTTATTGTGTTTCATTTAGGATGGAACAGAGAATGATATTCGTTTTTCTTCAAAACAAAACCAAAACAAAACGAAAGAGATTGTGTTTGAAAATGATGAGAAAGGTTCATCAAAGAGATGTCTATGTTCATATTTGAAAGAACTTTAGCATTGTTTTCATCAGTTTTTTGTTTTCTGGTTAATAAAATAAATATTTACATATTTGATTATCAAAAACCTATTTTAAAGAAAAATTAATTGTCAAATTGAAACATGAACAAATCAAAACCTGATGCTATTTGTTTATATCATTTAGGAACTTAGATTTTCATCACATACTCATCATTTGATTTTGATCTGCAAAGACAGAGAAAAAAAAATTGAATCAAAAAAATTAAATGGGACAAAGGTCAAGTGTTACTATATTTTGTTCAGAAATCTTTTTGTTGTTGTTGTTGGGATCGCAACGGGTTTTTCTTCTTTTTCTTTTTTCCATATTTCATCATCAACAATAAAATAATCCATTTTTTTTTGTCTTTTTTGTCTCAATTCCGACAACTTATCAATCAATCAATCAATCAATCGAAAAGA